ATGATGATGATGATGAGGAGGAGGAGGAGGAGGAGGAGGAGGAGAGGAGGGAGGAAGAGAGGAGGAGGAGGAGGAGGAGGATGAGGAGGAGGGGAGGAGGAGGAGGAGGAAGAGGAGAAGGTTTACAAAGCGTCTCAGGAGGCTGGAGGCCTTCGGGACGTTCAGAGCCTTCTGGGAAGCCCTGCCCCGTCTGCCTTCCCCCTTGGACGCGCCGCCAAATGATCCTCCTCCTCCTCCTCCTCCTCCTCCTCCCCTCCTCCTCCTCTCCTCCTCCCTCCTCCTCCTCCCCTTCCTCCTTCCCTCCTCCTCTCCCTCGCTCCCTCCCCCGCTCCCTCCCTCGCTCCTTCCCTCCCTCCTCCCTCCCCTCCCTCCATCCCTCCCCTCCCCCCCTCCTCTCGCACCCCAGGGCCGGGCCGCGGTGGCCCTGCCAGGCTACGGGGTGCCCACGCCCGCGCGCCGGCAGCGCGTTCGCTCAAAGGGCGAAGCGCACCTCGGGCCAGGGGGCGGCCTGTGGCGGCGCGCGCCGGCAAGAGGGGCAAAATGTGGGTCGGGAGCCTCGAGACGGGGGTCAATGCAAACGGGGGTCAGCCAGAGCGCCCGATCTTGCAGGATCCTGCAGGGCCAGGGTCGCATTGACCCGGGTTTGAGTGCAGGATCCTGCAGGATGCTTCGCATCGACCCGGGTCTGGGTGCAGGATCCTGCAGAAGCTTGCAGGATTCTGCAGGCCTGACTGACCCGGGTCTGGGTTGACGCGGGTCAGGAGATCCCCGAGTGGGTCGGGGCGACGGCTCGCTCGGCCCGCCTGGAGGAGTCGGTGGTTCAAGGATGGGGTTCTGAAGGGTGGGGTCCCAAGCACGCGGTGCCTCGAGCAGGGTCCGTCCACACTTGGAGCCCGTTCCTCAGGACCCCAGCTCTGAACCACCGAAGGAGGGCCAGGGCCGGGGGGGGCACGTCAGTGGGAGGTAGACTCAGGGGGGCGGGATAGGCTCGGACAGGGGGGTCCAGGTTCGATGTTTTCGGCCCTCTCGTTGTTTCTCGGCGAGTTTTCAGTCTCGGCGTCGGCGTGCTCTCCGGCGGCTGCGCCTCGCCGAGAGCGTTCCGGGGGTGCTCGGATCGCCCCGAACGGCCGCCGGAGAGCCAAGTGATGGCCCGAAAACCAGAGGGCAGCGCCAGGGGGGATGGGCTCAAGAGGGATGCATCAACCCCGAATCGCCCATTCATCGCCGACAGGGGCCCGATGGCTCACCTCGCCCACATGCGGACTCCCTATCGCAGGCCTATAGCCGATCTATCGGCGTTGTATCGCCGATTCCGAGTCAATGCGTTACCCCTGAGCCAGTCCTTCCCCATCGTTACCCCTCAGCTCGGGTCGGACGAGAGAGCGGGATTGGCAAAGGGAGGATACGTACGAAGTCTGCTGCATGCAGCTGGTCTCGGCCCTGCCGCGGGACGCATTCTCTGCCGTGGGATACACATGCGCCTCCTGGCGCGGGGGGGCGCCAGGGGAGCCGGCCACGTGAGCTGATTCGCTAACCCTCTCTCTGCCTGGCAGCGGGGGGGGGGCGCCAGGGGTCTTTGTGGGGGAAACGGGTCCTGAGGGAAATGGCTCCCGAGGTTTTTCGTCGTTTTCGGGCCCTCGGGGCCCTCCACGGGCACTGGGACTGTCAGAAGACGACTCAGGATGAACAAGTGTTACTGGGGGAAGGCCCCGAGGCCAAGGACTGGTTTCCCTCAGCACCCCTTTACCGCATGTTAACAGGGGGAGGCAGGGAGGGAAGGAGGGGAAGAGGGGCATGAGGCAAGCTCGGTGTTCTCCTTTCTCCATATCTGACATCTTACCCCTCCCACCATCACTTCCCATGGCGCTCATGTTTTCTCTATATTATATCCGCCAACGGGTGTCGTAGCGGACCGCAAGTCTTCAAAAGGACCCATCGCGTTATGCGCAGTGAAGAAATTGGAGCTGTGTGCATTGGAGGAGGAGGATGAGGAGGAGGAGGACAAGGAAGAGTAGGAGGAGGTGGCGGATGAACAATGGGATGAGCAGGTTGAAGAAGATGCACGAGGAAAGGTGCTCGGACTCTTGCCATCTGCTGGAGCTCGACGAGAGCATCCAACTGTCGGCGATGATGCTCCGATTGGCTTTCTGTGGTGGGCCACGCTATGGCCCAGGAGCCAACTCAGAGGAGCGCATGGCTGCCACGAGTCGATCGGTTCGAGAATGTCAGCAGGTGCTTGCGCGCGGCGGCGATCGGTTCCAAAGCACCTCGAGCCCGCGCAACGCACAAAAGGAGGGGGGGGCGGATGAGGACGGGGGAACAGCGGGACCGGGACAGGCGGAGGTGGGAGGGGGGGGCGGAGGAGAGGGCGGGGGGGGGGCGGCGGCGGGGGGCGGGGAGGGGCGCACCCCCTCCCGGTGGGCAGACGAGGTGCAGGCGCCGCCTCGGCGCCCTCTCTGTCCTCGGTGTCCTACGAGGGTGCTGGCCGCATGCGGGCCACACCCGCCCAGGGGCTCCACAGGGAGACTGCCCCGGGGCAAGGACATCACAGGAGCACGGGGCCCAGAGAGCCCAGGGCGGAGCATGACTAGGCCTGCGAGGCTCGGTTCGAACCGCTCCCAGGTCCAAGGGATCGGGGTCTTCTCTGGAGGAAGGCTGCGCGGCGGTCGCGGCGGGCTGCGCTCGAAGCCGGATTGGCCTCGGCGAGACATGAGGCCGCGAAGGCTCTGGCCTTGGTCAGGGTTGACGGGGATTCCTGCTGCTCCTCTTCCTCCTCCTCCTCCTCCTCCTCCTCCTCCTCCTCCTCTGAGCCGCGGCGACCCTCTCGAGCCTTGGGTCCTCCTCCTCCTCTTCCTCCTTTTTACGTTGGACAGAATTAGGTAACGGAACCGTATCGTCAATCCTCCTCATTCTAAGTCACGTGCGTTCCTCCTCCTCCTCTTTCTCCTCCTCCTCTTTCTCCTCCTCCTTCTCCTCCTCCTTTTCCTCATCCCGTTCTCCTGAATAGTCGCATTCGACAACGCAGACGTGCTGGGTTTGAAATGTCTTTGTTTTTACTCCACGGCGTTGTAAACCAGCTTGGGGGTGCAATCATATCTGAACTGCATGGGCAGTGCTCTCATGATTGATTCACGGTGGTGCTGTCTCTTGTTGATGTCCGCTCCGCCTCCTCCCTCCCCCCCCCTACACGACAAAAACACCGGCCGTGCTCTGGCCCGCCATCTTCCAGGAGAGCGTGGGCCCAGAGCGTGGGCATCTGTCGGGCCAGGCCTTCGTTCGTTCTGCGTGGCTCGGAGCGTCGAGGAGGCTCGCGTCAGCCTTGCCAGCGGTCCGCTGGCACGCGCCCGGATTTGAGGGGACACGAGGACACGCGAGGGGCGTTTCTCTCGCCGCTTCGCCGCTCTCCGGACGCGGCCCTCCTCCTCACAGCTTCTCCTCGTCGTCGTCGTCGTCGTCGTCGTCGTCGTCGTCGTCGTCGTCGTCGTCGTCGTCATCGTATCGTCCCTTCCTTGACTTGTTTTCTGCGTGCCCTTCCCACCCGTCTCCCCTTCGGGCGGCCGGGGCCTGGCTTCCAATTGCTTCTCCACCTCCTTCTCACTCTCTGCGGTCATCTGACCATTCAGCATAATATTATCCCTATCCTCAAGAAGATTGAATTCGTAGTCTGGTTTAGGTCACGGTTTCAGGGATATCCCTGAACATGTGGGTGGTTTCGTCTGGCACATCTTCAAAGACCCCTTATCCCTGACGTTTTTGGCCCTCCTAACTTAGGTCCCCTCCCACAGGATTAGGTGTTGCTTCCCATCTGGGCTCAAGCGATTCTTGGCTAAGCCATTTTGGCAGCCCCCCCCCGCATAGGGCGACGAGATCTATGCGTATCCACTGCCCCTGGCCAGGCCAGTCCTGGGCCCGGGAGCGGTGTGTGCGCCCATTCACGCCGCTCCTGGGCGCAGCACGGGCCCAGCAAATGGCGAAGCGCGAAGATCTCGCAGCCCGAGCCCCAGGAGCATCCCCTGCATCGCCCCCACCAGCGGGGGGTCCGCGGACATGTCGCGCACGCGAGTCGAAGAAAAAACAACGGCATGGACATCAATATCCGGAGCTCTTCGCGGAGTTCTTGGATTTGCGCTGGAACTTCCTGGCGGCGCCGCCCAAGGCGCGCTCCGCGCGCCAGGGAGGGGGGTTCAGCGCAGATAGATATTTTCTGCGCAGACCTCCAAACGTTCATGTTTCTGCAGTTGTGTCTTCTTCTAGCGAGGGCTCGCCGTTCTTATGGCCGCCTTTGTCGCCGCAGCAGTCGGCCTTGCCCGCGCTTTCGCGGTCCCCCGAGCGGCGCAGCGGCCGGCGGTGACCCACCTCGCGGGCAGCGCGCTGGCGACGTCGGCGGGCCTCGGCCCGCCACCGCGGCGGCTGGGCCCCGCGCGGGCGGCGGCGCTGCAGCTGGTGAAGCCGGTGGTGCTGCAGCTGGTGAAGCCATTGGCTTTCTGTGCGCTGCTCGGCCTCCTCTCGGGGGGGGCCAGGGGGTGTCCCTGGCCCATGGCGTCCAGCATCGTGGATCCAGGCCTCCCAGATGGCGTCGAAGCGCATGGGGTCGGAGGATCGCGCCGCATCGGCGATGCATCGGCGATGCGGCTCGATGTGGAGGCTGATCCACGCCGACGTCGCGGGTGCATCCGGCGATGCATCGCCGATGCGGCGCGATCCTCCGACCACGTCTATTTGGACTCCACCTAGGAGGCCTCTAGCTGATCGGATCCCTATCACCGCTGGGCCATGGTATCTCAGCCCCGCCAGACCCCAGTGGGAACAGCATGTATCCCCATTTGGGCGGGTAAAGCGGTCAGAGCGGCCAAGGCCATGCCAGTGGGGATGGGGATATGTTAAACGATGCTCAGGTGTGGCCAAAGGATTCCCCCCGAGGCCCAGATTGGAAGGGAGGGGGCGCCTTGGGCCAGTGCCACTTTTGGCAGCGCCCGATTCTCGCGGAGCCTGTGCGCAAGATGCAAGTCAAGCTGCACGACAAGCTGAAGGGGAAGTCGATGCCCGTCGAGGCGTTGGCAGAGTTCTCGGCCACTTTCCTGCTGGTCTTCTTCGCCCTCGGAGCGGCGCTCACTGGGGTGGACGGCGCGTTTGCCTTTGGGAGCACGATCCTTGTGTTGGCAACGGTTTTTGGCCCCATCAGCGGTGGCCACATAAATCCTGCGGTGACCTTTGGCATGTATGCGGCTGGCAAGATTGATGCCAAGAAGACAGTGAGCTACATCGGTGCGCAGTGCCTGGGGGCAACCCTCGGCGCGCTTGCTCTCCAGCACTGCCTCGGCGTGAGCACCCTCGGCGGCTTCAACGCGATGGTGGTGGCGCACCACCACCACCACCACTCCGCCAGCGTCCCCAGCATCTGGGGCGCCTTTGCCATGGAGGCCCTCGGTGCCGCTCTCCTCGTCTCCACGGTGCTCGCCGGTGGCACGGCGCTGCCCATCGCCGCCGCCGTCGTGGTCGCGCACCTGCTGCTCGTCCCGGTCACCGGCTGCAGCATCAACCCGGCTCGGTCGTTGGGCCCCGCGCTGGTGAACGGGTCTTCGGCGGCGCTGAAGCACCTTTGGATGTTCATCGCCGCACCGATGCTCGGGGGCTGGCTCGCGGGGACGAAGGCGTGCTGGTTCAAGAAGTGAGGCGAGGCGAGCCTCGGGGGAGGTCGGCCTTGCGGTGGTGTCTCTCAGAGGAGGGCGAGTTGACACAATAGTAGTTGGCCTTCAGGGGGCCTCCTCGTCGCTGCGGCTGGACGCAGCTTGGAACACCGGTGCGTTTGGACCCCATGAGGGGTCCCGGGACTGATTTTGAGAGGCCGTTGTCTCAGCTCGCCCTGCTCCGAGCCTCGGCCTTGACGCTGGTCGAGGCGCGTCGTCTTATGGCGGTGGGCGGTGCTATTTTTTCAAAACAGGCGACTTGTGCGTGAGATCCATTGGGCTGGCGCCACGTCCGCCTGGCCCCTCGGTGTGCCTGAGACCGCGGCGGGACGTCTGTAGGCCCCTTGTAGAGGAAGAAGGGGAGGAGCAGAGGGAGATAGGGGGAAGAGCGTAGGAGCAGGATGAGGAGGCCGAAGGAGGAGGAGGAGGAGGAGGAGGAGGAGGAAGACGAGGAAAAGTGGTAGGCGGAGGAGGAGGACCAGTGCAAACCCAAGACGCATCAACGATGTTGCATTAAGCTGCTGTAAACTTTTCTGACAAGTGCGTGCGGCGCTAAGGTGAGAGCCACACTTTGAAAAGGAGCCGCCCTCCATGGTTCAAACTGTTGCGATTTTGTAAGACGGCTATGCGCGGCGCTGCGGCGAGAGACAAATTATGTCACCACTTGGCCTCAATCCTAGAAGCGGCTGCAGCTTGTTAAGACGAATATGCACGGCGCTAAGGCGAGAACTACATGGTGAAACGGACCCGCCCTCATCCTAGAAGCGGCTCCAACTTTTTAAGACGAACGTGCACGGCGCTAAGGCGAGAGCCACATGTTGAGAAGGAGTTGACCTCCATTTTCAATGGTTTCAATTTTGTAAGACGAAAATGCGCGGCGCTGCGTCGAAAGTCACATTTTGGAAAGGACCCGCCCTCCATCCTTGAAGCTCTTGCAAATCTCACGCTTCATGATCATAGATAGTGGGGCAATATGTGGCGAAACACCCTACTGACACGTCCAGGGGTGCGACAGGGGGGCGATTAAAACACCTATGTATGTGTTTATATATACATATGTTTGTATGTATGTGTGTACGTACGTATGTATGTATGTGTGTACATACACATGGATGCAAGTATGTATGAATGAATGAATGTATGTATGCATTTATGTATGTATGTATGCCTGCATGCATGTATGTACGTATGTGTGCATGTATCGATGTATGTATGTGTGTATGTATGTATGTATGTATGTGTGTATGTATACGTGCATGTCTGTGCATGTGTATGTGTATGTGTATGTGTATGTGTATGTGCATGTGTATGTGTATGTGTATGCATGTGCAATTGTATGTATGTATGCATATACATGTGTGTGTATGCATGCATGCATGTATGTATGTAGGTAGGTAGGCGTGCATGTGCGTATGCATGTATGGATGTACGTGTGTATGCATGCATGTATGTCTACATGTACGTGCATATGTATGCGCGTACGTATCTATACATGCATGTATGTGTGGATGCATGTATGTGTGTTCGCGTGTATGTACGCATGTGTGTATGTATGTATATTTGCATGCATGGAAGTGCGTAAGTCTGTGTATCTGTATATATATATATATATATATATGTGTTATATATATAAATATAGATGTGTGCATACATGTATGTATGCATGTATGTACACATGATCGTGTGTATGTGTGTATGTATATTTGTGTACACGAATACATGTATACGTGTACGTGTATGTATGTATGTGTATGCATGTATGCATGTATGCATGTATGCGTGCATGCATGCATGCATGCATGTATGTGTGGATGCATGTATGGATGGATGGGTGTATATATGTGTGTATGTATGTATGTATGTATGGATGGATGGATGGATGGATGGATGGATGGATGGATAGATGTGTGTATGGATGTGTGTATGTATGCATGTATGTATGTATGTATGTAGGTAGGTAGGTAGGTAGGTAGGTAGGTAGGTATGTATGTATGTATGTATGTATGTGTATATAGATATTCATGTATATCTACGTATAGATATGTAGATGTGTGCGTTCACCGCAAAGGGATAGGTGAGGAGGAGACAGGGGGGAGATGGAGAGGGCGAGTGACTCTTAGGGTGTCTTTGAGCTTTCTTGGGATCTTCTTTGGCTGCCAGTGGGCTCCTGGGGCTCTCTTGGGGCGTCTCAGGAGCTTCTTGGTACCCCCATTGAGCACTGTCGGACTGCCTTAGCGCACCTCGTCGTTAACTGGGGCCATCTTGATGGTTTCTTGGGCCACCTTGTGGGCCCCGACGGGTGTTCTGTTTCTGTCGTGTGATCTTATTGGGCCATCTTGGGGGCTTCTCTGGCCACTTCAGGGCTGTCCTGGGGCCCTTGAGCACTCCTCATCTTGGGCCGAAAATCATGAAACGCTAAAGGCAGTGAGCAGCAGTTCGTTTTCGGGCCTAGGCGGGATTCGTTTGTTTGTAAGGTGGTATCTGGTTCATTGATTAAATCGTTGGCTGGCTGGTTGGTCGCACCGTTGGCAGGCCATTTTGTTTTTGGCTGCCGAGTGCGCAACCTAGCAGATAGTCATATAGTCGGTTGCCGAGGGTATTATTTCTGGGGCAACGAACAGCGGGTCGTTTTTGCGTTCGGCAGCCAAGGGCGCAACCCATGGCGCAACGAACAGCAGGCCGTTTTATGTCGAGCAGCCGAATACGCAACCTAAGGCGTATTTGACACCAGGTTGTCTTACGTTCAGCCGCCGAGTGGTTACCCTACAATGCAATTGGCAGGAGGGCGTTTTATTTCTGGCAGCCAGGAGCAGGTCGTTTCTTTGCCCAGCTGCCGAAGGCACAGCCTACGGAGAAGCTCACGAATGGCACAACCTAAGAGCACGTCGTTCTATTCGGCTGCCGACAGCGCAACCTTTGGCGCAACCAATACATACTGGTCGGGTTACTTTCGGCCGCTAAGGGCGCAACTTACTGCGCAATCAATAGCATCATAGGCAGTTGTCAGCATAACCTATGGCACAACCAGAGGATGGCGCAACCCATAGCGCGCAACAAGATGAGGCCAAAGCAAAGGAAGATCAGGCCGACGTGGCCAACAGCGGTTGGAAGTCATTTGTTCTACGAGGCTACGCCCGAGTCATGCTCGCCATTTGGGCTGGCGGCGCGGCCCTAGCGGTTGCTGAGATTTTCAGTGATTCCCGGGGCGTTTTTGAGTTTCCTGCGCTATGTGGGGATGTTTGGACCTTCTTGTGCTGCCAGGGAGATCTCTCGGGCCGTCTTGGCAACCTCTGATACGGCTCTCTTGGGCATTCTTGAAGCCGTCTCAGAAAATTGATCTTCGGACCCCCCGTCCGCGCTCCGCTTTCCACCTCCCCCTCCCCCTACCCGTCAAGTCCGCGATGTTGGAGCCAACGGAAGAGGGGCGGGGGGGGGGGTAGGCGTGGGGGAGAGTCACACGCCTGGTGGCGAAGTCCAGATATCGACACACACGGTGTAGTGTGTCCGTTGAGACTGCAGGTTATGTGCAGCGGGAGTTGGGACCTGTGGGCTTCCCATTTTGGTCTCTGCCGCCATTCGGGCTCGAGCCTCAGGGTTGTACCGGCGGGCCGTGTCCGTCGGAAGCCACGCTCGCGCGCATGGGGGGGGCGCGCGGCCATGGGGCCCTGGGGGCTCGTGGTGCACGCTGCGGCGATCTTACCACCGCCCTCAACGGAGACTCCAGTGGGTACCCCCCCGATGTTTGGCGTCGCCGTTTCCCGTTTCTCGGGGAGTGCACTAAGTCTTCGTAGGATCTCTCGTCGCCGCTTTTTCCCGGGTTTCCTCGGCGTTGTGTGGGGCGCGTGATGCGGACCGCGACTTGCTTGTGGGCTTCTTTGGGGCGCGTGGCCTCATGGGGGGCGCCATCGAAGGCCCCAGTGTCAGGGTTCAGATGTCCCCTGGCAAATTTGGGTACACGCACGCGCACGCACACATCAATCGGTTCGTCGCCTCATAGGGAGCCCCACCGAAAACCTCAATAGCAGGGCTCACATGCGTCCCAAGTCGAGTTCTGGCACACCCCTCACACGGTGCGTGGCTTCATGGGAGAATCCAGTTAGTTTCACCGAAGGCCCTTGTCGCAGGGTTCGCATGCGTCCTGGTAAGTGTGTTGGCGTTTCGTCGTCGCTGTTTTGTTCGAAGAAGTTCACTGAAGATTTGCGGGGTGTGTTTGTGTGGGGCGAGTCGCGTCGTCGTTTTTCGGTGACATTCGGTAAGTGTGCAGCCATTAAATGTTCTTCGCTGGTCTCTCTGAACGGATGGGCTAGATAAGATTAAAAGGACATGTTCATCGGCGGGGTGCAAACGAGCCGGGCCAACGGATGGTGGCAGTTCGGTCGAGGGCTGAATGGCGTGGGCCCCGCGCCGTCGGCGACCGAGCCCGCGAGGCGGGCGCCGGGGCCTACCTCGCCTTTCGGCGCGATTCCCAGCCGTAGGGGCGAGGGGCGCCAGGGGCCTGGAGCGAAACCGCCAGCCGCGAAGGCGAGCACAGGGCTTGGGAAGGGGCGATCGCCTACTCCGCCGCCGGCCGCCGGAGAGGGGCGACACCCGGGTAGCCCGACGGCTACTACTACCACCACGGGAGCCTCCGGGCTCACGCCGCGTAGGGTTGGCGCGCTTGGTAAGCAAGCCGACCATGCCGATTTGGTGGTGCACTGAGGATGCGGACGGGCCTGCGCCCGGCGCGCCGTCTTCGGCCGGGCCTGGTGAGCCCACGCCCGCGCGGCTTGGGGGGTTCGCGGCTTGGGCCTGGGAGATAAGGGGATCTGGCTAAGCACGCCGGAGCACGTTGGCACGCTGTGGATCGGAGCTGCGGCGGGCAGCCTCAGCGTGAACCTTTTGGGCGCTTAGTGGGGCACAGCCGCGCTGTGCATGATGATGGCCATGTTCACGCTCCTGCTGGGTACCGTCGCCTACCGCATCAACGCGGCGATGGCGCCGCTAGCCCTGAACTACGCTGGGTTAGCCTGGGCGTTGGGGCAGCTTGCAGCGCGCAGCCGCCGATGGCCCGCGGGGCCGGAGGCGGCCCTCCCGTCGCCCCCGCTCGCGCTCCAGCGAACGCGGTTCCGCGGGCCAGGAATGGGCGGGGGCGCCGAGATCGCCCGCTACAACGGGGGGTCCGCGGACGGGGTACTGTCGGCGCCGAGCCCCGAACCACCTGCTGTTGCGCGAGCGCGGGCAGGTAGCCCGCGCACCCTGCAATTTCAGCGTAGCGGTGGGCCCGGG